GTGAACTATGTAATTTTACAAATGCTTTAATTTAAACATTATATGTAGATAAAAAAGATTCTTTTTTAATGAAACTATATTATCTGATTAGATTATCAACTAAGCAAAAGGTCTTTAATCTATTTTCTAAGAAATATTAGGGTTTTAGTAAAATTAGTTTTACTAATAATATAAGAATGTTTTAAAGTTATTTTATATAGTTCATTATTAAACATAAAAATATTAATTGTAAAATTATAAGTATCACGTATTTTAATTCATTTTAGTATTAAAGTTAAAATTTTTTATTATATCATTAATTAATTCCAACACAAAAATCATGTATAAAAATTGGGTTAAATGAGTCAGTATTTTTAATTTAGCTCTTAATTTCTTACTATATAAACCTTTTACATAAAACACATAATATATAAATGTATAAATCTTAAAGCAAATTAATTTTTAGTATTTTTAAAAACTCCATTCAAATATTATAATGATGATTTAACTTATACGTAAGTATAAACTAATAAAGAGTATATTCTCAAGGAAATTTTTATTTTTTTAAAAATTAAAAAAAACACAGTTACTTATTTTTAAACTATTTTTACTGTGAAACTCTTAGTTTTTATTTAATTCAATTAAAAATCAGAGAGAATTTTTTAATTAAATTTCTATTTTTTATTTTCATTAATTTTATGACATTAGTGAGTTTAGTTGTTTATATAGATCAATATTGTTTTATTAAATTGTTTATTTCAAATATATATTTATTTTTTTTTTTTGAAGTTTACAGTTTATTATCTCGAATATAAAGCAAAATTATCACTGAATTGCGAAGTAAAACTGAAATGTATGGCGAAAATTTTATACTTAAACAACTATACGAATATGCTTGTTTGATTATCATTTAGAAATAATAATGACAGGATCTTAATATTTTAGAAAATGTTTAATAGAGTATCATGTCTGATGACATATAAATACATAAATATGAAATGTTTGGTTAAATAACCATCATTGTTTATTTCGTTTTTCTAATATTGAAATATTAAAAAAAAAAAAAAATACAAGTACTGTAATTTATATAAAAAAATAGTCAAAAATTGGAATTATTAAAAATTGATAATCACTATTATTTTCAGCTTAATTTTATAATCAATAAATTTTAAATCATAATAAGTCTTAATTATTTTTTATCACTTAAAATAATGAGAGCTATACTGTATGGGTTTTATTAAATAATACATATTTTTAATTTTAATTTATTAGTATCTTAAAATATATTTGTTAATACCATTTAATGTTTTGAATATTAAAACACGATATTTTAATTTAACTTAACTCGAGTAACCTTGTAACGTAGTAAAAACACTGTGTATAAAAACTTTTTATTGAATTTTTAAAAGCCATGTGATTATGTGATTGCTATTTGTCCGTTTAAAATACACGAAAAATGATATTATCATTTTTTTTTTTTTTTTGGTCTTTGCAGGTAGGTACTGGTTTAATTACTTATAATATTATGTAAATGTATATATATATATGACATATAATATTTCTATATATAAAATGAAAAACTGAATAGTCTGGACTCTTCATAAATTGGTATAAAAATACTGTAAAAAAAAAATAAAAAAATATGCAATAAATATAAATAATAATTAATATTGATTAAAAATACAAATACAGAATTTATATTTTTATATTAGAAAATAATAAATTTAAAAATATATAAGCATAAAAACTTATAAAAAAAATGAATAGTCTATGTAAAAAATTAAAAAAAATTATACATTAATATTTTTAATAATTTCAATTTGGCTTAGGAATATTAATTGATACTTACAGTTTACGACATGATCATTATGGTAAAATGCTTTTAAAAATGTTGTGTTTCTTTAATTTTGAAAGAAATAGTAAATTATCTGTACGTATACTACAAATATAACTGAATTTCTGATAAATAAAATGTTTTAAATATTTATTATATACGTTTATGATTATTTAGAGTATAATTATTTAACTTAAGCTGATACTATTGTTATTAATTTATATTTCAAAAATAAATAATCGAATACGATATTTTATTAAAACAAAGAATGAATAAAAAAAAAACTACTTTCAATAATAACGTGCTGTCAAAATTATTATTTTTTTTTCATTAAATTTATATTAAACGGTTTTCCTTATGCAAATAATATAACAAAATATATGAATTACCATATAAAAAATACAATATATTTGTTAAAACATATCAAATTGGTTTTAATATGAACTGTATAGTAAAGATACTTGATTAAAAATTAAAACACTATTAATATAAAAAGTAATGATTCTTATATGATTCAAATTTTAGCTACATTATTAGTGATTGATTAATTATTAAAATCCTATTTTGAAATAGTCTACTGTTTTCTAATGATGTATAGTGTTATTAAAATGTATTATTATATTCTATTTAAGTATTTTAACACACGTCATATATTATTTAAAATATAAATAAAATATTTTAATTGAGTATATTGTTAGTAATTATAGGTATATATCTGAATGATTTAAGAATTAAGTATACTCTTAAACTAATGTAGTTTTTATTTTTAAGCTAATTATAACTTTAGTTTGCTAAACCATTTGTTATTATTACTGAAAGACTTTTAAATAATCGTTATCAGTCCATTAGAACTCAAATAAATATATTATCTTATAATTTCTTTAGTGTGTATACAATATTTGGCGCATCAATACACCACTTAAGTATAAAATTCTAGTCTTAGTAGTTCATTTATGCGTGAAATAATTACATAGCAAAAAAAATGTATTTTTTATATGGAACGTGGAACGTATTAATAAATATTTATTAAGTGTTTCATACGTTTTTTTTTTTTTTTTCTGATTAGTACCTAATAGAATAATAGTTATTATAGTTTCTTTGATTTGATTTAAAAATATTCATTAATTAAATATAGAATTTTATTAATAATATTTATTTATTTTATCCATATGAAATTATTATTTAAAATTAATCTAAAAAATAAATTTAATACATTTTTCGCAAAATAAATTAAATATTTAACAGCTTAAGATTTTTAAAATAAAATCTTGTCACACTTAAGTATGCTTAAAATTTTTTTTCTTATAAATAAATTATAAAAATTATATTAGACGATTTTATAACTTAAAAATAAATTTTTTTTAAAACATTTGACATTAAAATTCCACTCTAAAACGTTTTTAATGAGAAAGAACCACTCAAACTACAGTACTAATTAAAATACTATAAATAAACAAAATTTAGAAAATAATATTTTTATATAGTCATGATAATATTGTATATTAGATATTATTTTATTTTTAAATGTAATATATTCTAACAGAATTAGATCGAAACAAAAAACTTATCGAACTCTACCATTTTAAATGCATGTTCAAAAAATACAATGGTCAATAAATAAGTTTATGCTTCAGAAATGTAATTATTTTACTATAAAAAACGAATGCATATTCATATAAAAAAATAATGAACATATTCAATTGTTCACAGTTTAAAAACAAATATTTTAAACTACCTTTAATTTAAAAACTGCAATAATATTTGTACACAAGCTACTCAATCCTTACATACATGGTATAATGTAGTATGCATTTATAATGAAATAAATACATTTTTATGAATTGTGAGTAACCATTATAAAATAATGAATGTATTTATGTTTACATAAAAATAGGTACGTATACAATTTAATATTTATATAGTATTTTATTGACTTTTTTGATTTTTTTTTCTAAACACGCGATTTTATTTATTTCATGTTTAGATAAGTTACATTTTATAGTACAATACTATAATAATACACACTTGAGTGGTAGTTATAGAAGTAATAACGGTAGTGAGTGGTGAAGCCTGGCGCCTCCAACAGTTGGTCGCTTTTATGTTGCTGTTGTTATTATTTTAACACCGTCTTTCAATATTTAAATCGTTTTAAAAATATTATGAACAACATGAATATTATATAATGAAATTGCGTTATGCGCGCCAACTATAACAATAAACGTATGGGGGCTAGTGTAAACAGTAGGACTAGATAAAACAAATTTGATACAATATATCTACTTGTATACACGTTTGGTTTATACATTGTACGTGAATAGTTCGGAACTTGACGGTAAAAACAAAAACTTTATCATATAGATTTGGATCTATACCATGTTTTTAATGGTACTTCTTCACAATTTATGCTCCAGTACAGACATGTAGTTTACATTTATATATATTGTAGTATGCAATATCGGGTGTACATAATCCGCATATACATTCGTTTATACAGAAAATAATTTAACTTGGTGACGTGTGGGATGGCATGATTTATAATAAATAAAACCTCAGGGAACCAATGATAATATCAAATATGTCGTGGCGAGCGTGAAAATAAATTTATTTTAGTTTTTGTTTCATAGCAAAACGCGTAGGTTAACCGACATGGTAGCGGCGTTTCTTCATTACATTATGGTGGGCGGTGGACAGGGAAAATGTCCGATAATCCGCGTACTACTCGCAAACTCTTACCCTCTTCTCCATCGTCTACCTCAATCACTCCGGCCCTCCTACCACCATGCCACCACCATCCGACCACTTTCATGGGTCTGGCTGTGCCGCTGTTGACGCCAAAACCCCTCCAGCGTGGAGCTGCTCGGGCTATATAGTTGTGCAACAACTATAACGGCGCTGCCTACCTGTTACCGTATGGACTACAACACACTAAAAACTATGACGGGCGGTAACGGCAGTGGTGGCTAGATATATAGAACTTTACAGGAATAGAGAAAAGAGAAATTGGTGAATGAGTAGAGGAGAAAAAGGACGATGGAAAGAGTAGGACGAGAAGGAGTAGAAGCAGGACGTGTAGAAGCAGGACGAGGAGGAACAGGAACAGGAGGCGGTGACGACTAAATATACGTCGACTGTTTGCGGTGCCCGGCGCCGGCGCCCTATCATTGCTTGGGTGTTGGCCGTCGCCGTCACGGGAAACTCGCGACCGACACGACGCTCACACGCAAGCATACACACTCAGTGTCACACCGTCCGAGCCAACAGACGATATCATGGCGAGGCAGCAGCAATTCATCTTGATCGCCGCGATGATCTTGTGCTGCTGTGGTGGCAGCTTTATCGTTTCCGCACTCGATCTCAACAAACTGTATGGGCACATACACGCGAAAAGGAACATAGGTACGTAACAATTTTCTTCTTTTTACTATAATATTAAAATAATAAACGCTCGTCATGGCTGATATGACAAATATATTTGTGGGTATACGTCCCTGGGGGGTTTGTCACACGTCTGTATAATATGCATAATAATTACCTATTATTCTGTTTTCCATTTATCTCCGACCACTTCAGTCAGATAAGCTTTCATCGACTTATGAATATCACATAATTACATACAATATAAAATTATCGTAATAATTTAATCCAAGAACTGGCCATAGAACTCATCATTCTGCTATATATAATACTGTAATAATATTGTAAACACGAAAAATCAAAAGTTATGCAAAAATGTGTTTAAATGATTATACATTATGGTTATTTAATTCACCAATAAAATATAGTTTATGATACTTAAATCTGAATTTAAAATAGAGTACAAAATTATACTATTTACGATACTGCACAAAACTTTACAATATACTATAAATATTTAGATTTTTAATTTTAAAGTTTAGTTATAATATCGTATGTTTTAATTTTAAAATATTAGATTTATTATAAAATTGGTAATCTAAATGCACAAAAATATTTTTTAAACACTTCACGTTACTGTAATTAAGTTTAAAAAGTTTTGAACACGAGGAATTCCAAATAAATTTCAAATAGCTTCTTTTTTTTATCTATAGTTAAATTAAAAAATCTAGTGAACCTTGATTTTATTTAACTGTTCATTTTTTTTTTTTTTATAAAATAGGTTATATAAGTATGTAGAAAAAAAAGAAAAAGTATAATTGTAAGGAAAAATTGAGTGTTGTATTGTTTGGTTTCTGTATGGGATATTGGAAAATCATGAATATAATGTGTAGTTAGCTCAAGACATCACCATTAATAAATAATTTTTTTTATTGCTATTTTTAAATTAATATGAAAAAACTATATTATAATATCATTAGATCAGTCAAATTTTTTGTTTAAATATAAATAATAATTCATTTAAAACAAAATTATTTTTATTGTTATTATTTAATTTAGAAATGTATACGTAAATTAATGTAATAGTATTATTTCTAAAATTATTTTGTATAAATATAAATCTATTATTTTTTAGTATCATATATTTTATAATACGCATTAATTTTGAGTTAATATAATTTTATTTAATTTGTTGTGAGTAGTAGTTTTACTGATAATCAGTATCAATAGTTACGAAGTTTTAATTGTTTTAATTATTTTCAACTTAATTATAAAAAATGTATGCATGTTAATTTTTCAGTTAATAAGACTCTTGATAAAAACATGATTTAAAACTCTTGGATATTATATAACTGTTAAGGAAGTCACTTTTACACTCAATTTTAACAATGATACCATTGACGGGGTGTTGAATATGCAATTTCACTACACCGGTGTGTAGGATTACAAACAACAATGATTCTAATCGTCTTACTCATATTCGTGTACGTCATAAACATTCTGTTGACAGATACGATGAATAATAAACTAATGGTTAGTTTTTAATTTAAAGACAAGTACCAACCATGAATAATAAACAACACAATATACTGATATACTTAATATTTCGCACAAAAATTAATGTGTTTACTTAGGTATTGAATAGTCCTTAAGGTCTGGTGTGTGAATATAATAAAAAACATATAAAACTTCCCATGATATTGCATGGAAAACTTATAGAAATACTACATTTAATATTATAACCACTCACTTTAACAAATACCAATAAAAATTAATATATAATTCCAATTATATTAAATTTGTATATAGGTACGCTTCATTTTACTTTTATTTAAGTAGGTAAATTCAATCAATAACAATATATAGGTTTATTCTGAGACTATCGAATATAAGTTTCATTATGTATGAATTCATTATTAAGATACTTGTTTTGAATTATAACTAAGAAATAAAAAATAATTATAATATAATATTTTTACAAAACTTTTTAGATTAGATAAATTTATCTTAACTAACCTAACATTATTTTACAAAGTATCACAATATTCTATTAAATCTTATAACTTCATTTAAAATGTCACAAATCTACGTTTTTATTTATTTTAATATTTATACAAGTTTCTTAGTTAATTCTAAAAAAAATATGCTGTATAAATTACATTTAAAAATAGGTGTGGTTAACATACTTGTTACATGACCCGTAGGAATTCACACGCAATCGATTAATTCATTTTTATATTCTATCATACATCAGTATTTTTTTTTAATTCAGCTTAACCAAAATATTTTTTTAACAAAACCAATAATAATTTAAAAATAATTTATAAATACAGTTATTTACTTAAAATTTTTATGGTGAATATATAAATAAAATAAACTTAATATAGCATTTAGTAAAAGTCATTAATTGACCAAAACACGTAATCACGTCTAAATAAATTTGTTGGTATTCTTTTTTAATAAGAACTTAATTTATATACCCTAACTTAAGTTGTGTAAACTAATGTTTTCTAACCTATTTAGCGCAACCCAGTTTTGTTTGATGGATCACGCACATATTATAACTTTAAATTATATAATTACATCAGAAATAATAATAGTGTAACAATAAGACTAGAATTTATTTTTACGATTCTCTTGGAAAAAGAAGGGTCTAATACTAATTAATTTGAATTATTTAATGATAATGATCATGTTAATGATTGCATTATTTATAAAATACAATTAAAAGAAAATTTTCTTTGGGTGTAATACAATTTATTCTTTATAGAATAATTTTTCCATAGTTTTTATTACTCATTTTTTCTTAATAATGTAAAATAATATACAATTAAAAGTATGTTCAAATAACCTTACGGTTGTGTCTTGTGTAATGATCTATTAAAAAATATTACATTTATTTTAATTTAAACTTATAAGTAAATCTTTGTTTGGAGTAAAACGATGTTTTGCCTTATTCATTATTCTGCAAGTACCACTTAGTTTCAGTCAGTAAGTGTTCTCGACAATACATCACAATAACAATTTGCACACAATTTTGGTACAAACTATAAAAATAAATAATACTTTCAAGTAGGTATATTATATGTATACTGCGTACATCATTTATTGAATAGTAAAATACAACGTCTCATTAAATACTTGTATTATTAATTTATAATAGAATTAATTCAAATATACTAAAATAAAACAAATAAAAATAATTTTACTTCATATTAATTGATAGTATATAGTTTAACATTTTCGAAATTATTTTTAACATCTTTTAATTAATTTTAATTTAAAGTTCAAGGTCTTATGATTGTCCAAAAACAACTAGACTAGGTATATGTGGAATTAGGTTAAAGATCAAAATCGAAATGTTTAAACACGTCCAAATGGAAAATATTGGAAAGATAAACATAATTATTTATATATTTTGGTTAGTACAGTTTAGACACTTAAAAGTTAATTTTAGTAGAGTTATTAACCTTCAAAAACCAACAAATTTAAAAAGTTTGGAAACTGATAAACTAAATTAACCTTAATTTACAATTTAAGCTAATGAAACATGTGACAAAAAGTTTTTCATTATAATTTTATACAGGAAACATAAGTTTTTCTATCAATAAACTTGTTAAATTTATAATATAGTATTAACCATAGCTTAAAATTATTAAAAATAATAATTATGTCACTTTCAGTAAATAAACTTTATATATTAATTATGTAAAAAAAAATAACTTATTTTGTTTATATTATCTACTATAATATTTAACTTTAATATTATAATTTAGTCAAAACATAGACTTGTAAATAAACATATTACAAATTAACTGAATTTTAAATGTATATTTATTGTAATTTATTATATTGATACAAATGAAATTATTTACCGTAAAAAAAGTATACATCCTTAGCTAAAAATATTAAACGATCCTATAAAATATGTATTATTGTAGAAAAAAACAAAATAAAAATTACTTGATAACTAATATATTAAATATTATTACTTACTAGACTAACCTTTATAATTCATTAACATTTAATTTTTTTTTTTTTTTTTTACAACTTGAAATTAAACTTTTTATTTTAGTATACATTTCATAACTAGTGAAAATGATCTTTTATGAATAATAATTATTTATTACTTACAAATAGTATTCATAAAAAACCTTTAGGTGTTCCCGTGAGATCTGAAGGATTTTATGCTCTTTGTTTGATTTTAACAAAAACATTTTTTCTTTCATCGTAAAAAATATTTCTCAGCACTATTTTTACTTGAAAATTAAAAATTATTATGATTATTTTATCCCAAAAATTATAATTATGAAATACTATTAAGTGTTTTTTTGCATAATAGATTCTTTTATAATGTGTCTTATATAAGAATAATTAATAAATTTATGCTTTTCAAGTTATTTATATAAATATTTAAAAATAATAAAAAGAATTTTAAACATACATGTAAAGGGAATGACATAACGTGAATTATAATAAAAGATAAAAATGTTCATTTTTGTTTTTGAATTTTGAATTTAAACTACATATTTAATATAAAGTTCGATTTATTTACAGGTATTCAATTATATAGCTAATAAAATATTCTTTACTCAAATATTTAAAGTAGATAATAATAATATTATTTAAAAAAATTAAATGGAATTTGTATCAGCTTATCCAGTGCTTTAAATAGATTAATAATATTAAACAAAATCCATTTTTTTTAAATATAACACTATTACTCGTAATTGAATACTAAAAAATTATACAAATCAGAATTTGAACAAATGTGTTATAGAAGGATTAAAATGGGAGTTAGCGCATACTTACTAGATCGTATATGATATATATATATATATATTTATATATATATATATATGCTATATTGACGTTGTGTTTTTAATTTATTTATCCATTTTTATTAAGCTTGTAGTTGTTAACTCAAACCTAGTAATTGTATTATACACGAGTGCTGATTTCAATAATAATTACAACATTGAATCTCTGGTAAAAAAAAAAAATGTTCATGTATAATTAAAATACATTTTCTACGCCAATTT